GAATGCTAAAGCAGATTTAAATTATAGATGAACGTCTTCAATATATAATTCCGAAGCGTTACATTTGAAAAAGTAGTTGTGAAACTGTGTATAAACGAACGAAGCAATTAGCCCTCTTTGCCCCACGTATGGGGTAATGAGAGCTCGCTATGGGGCAACGAGAGCCTGGAATAAAAATAGAACATAAAGTTACAAATTAAACAGACCGATTAATTGGATTGAAATGTTTAACACGTTCGTCGATTTGTGAATAAAAACGAACACGAAAGAGACTCGCAACGGTTGACCAGCGCACCAATTACGGTTCATGGTACGGATAAGAATTATACAGGGTGTCCCGAAAATGTCTCGCAATCCGGAAATGGGAGATTCCTGATGTCATTTGAAGCAACTTTTTCCTTTGCGAAAATGTTCTCCGAGGCTTCGTTTACGAGTTATTAATAAAAGAAACGCTGACCAATAAGAGGCGAGCTCGGCTGGCGCGCGGCGGCCCAGCCAACGAGTGCACGGAGCCCAGTTCCGCTCATTGGCTCGGCCGTCTCGCGCCAAATGATCTCGCCTCCGATTGGTCACTGTTTTTCGTTAATAACTCGTAAACGAAGCCGCGAATTGCATTTTCGCTAAGGAAAAAGTTGCTTCAAATAATCTCAGGAATCCCCTACTTTCGGATTGCGAGACATTTTTGGGACACCCTGTATTATAACGTTATATTATAACGAACACGGCTTACTAATATGGTTTACGACTTCGGCGTACGATTACGAGAATTATTGTACACTACTTTACTCTCTTTTTGTATTGTATTTTGGGGTGCGTCACTGTTTAGTAATAAATAGAATAGTTACCAANCCGCGAGGTCGCCAGGATCGGTCGCGGTATCGACAGTGGCCCGCTTTTGTCCCCGTTTCACGTTTCGGCAGATTTTAGGTACGTCTTAAAGTTTCTCCGCGTACTCCTTGGAGCGGAATCGACAGTCGGCGCTTAACTCAGTTTAATAGTCGATCGATGAGTAAATTGGGTTAGGGGTTTCCTGAAAGGACTTTGGGCTTCTGCCCGGTTTCGAGGGTACGGAGAGCGGTTCTCCTTAAACAGAGACCACGATACCGGTTCGATTCTATTAGAAGACAAGAGCAACGTCCTCTGGGTCCGTCTTAGACTTTCGGCGAAGTATCGAGAGAAGCCTGCCAGGAGTTTCGGCCCTCGCCGATACGCGAAACCTGATACGCTTCTATGCTCCATGCGAGTTACGGTTCTCTTCCTCTCGGCCGTCGCGTCTTTAAGGAACCCCGTCGATTGTTTTGCTGCAGACGCCCGATCCTCCGTCGCCAAAAATCCCTTTTCAAAGTCGCGATCGTGAGAACGATCGTTCGTTCGCGTCGCGTGAGTTATTCTATCGCCTCCGTATTTTCGAACTTTTTAGGGGAGACCCGGGAAAGAGTTAGCACAGAAAAGTTTGGAGAGGGATGTTAAACGTTTCCTTTGGTAAAAGAATGCTAAAGCAGATTTAAATTATAGATGAACGTCTTCAATATATAATTCCGAAGCGTTACATTTGAAAAAGTAGTTGTGAAACTGTGTATAAACGAACGAAGCAATTAGCCCTCTTTGCCCCACGTATGGGGTAATGAGAGCTCGCTATGGGGCAACGAGAGCCTGGAATAAAAATAGAACATAAAGTTACAAATTAAACAGACCGATTAATTGGATTGAAATGTTTAACACGTTCGTCGATTTGTGAATAAAAACGAACACGAAAGAGACTCGCAACGGTTGACCAGCGCACCAATTACGGTTCATGGTACGGATAAGAATTATACAGGGTGTCCCGAAAATGTCTCGCAATCCGGAAATGGGAGATTCCTGATGTCATTTGAAGCAACTTTTTCCTTTGCGAAAATGTTCTCCGAGGCTTCGTTTACGAGTTATTAATAAAAGAAACGCTGACCAATAAGAGGCGAGCTCGGCTGGCGCGCGGCGGCCCAGCCAACGAGTGCACGGAGCCCAGTTCCGCTCATTGGCTCGGCCGTCTCGCGCCAAATGATCTCGCCTCCGATTGGTCACTGTTTTTCGTTAATAACTCGTAAACGAAGCCGCGAATTGCATTTTCGCTAAGGAAAAAGTTGCTTCAAATAATCTCAGGAATCCCCTACTTTCGGATTGCGAGACATTTTTGGGACACCCTGTATTATAACGTTATATTATAACGAACACGGCTTACTAATATGGTTTACGACTTCGGCGTACGATTACGAGAATTATTGTACACTACTTTACTCTCTTTTTGTATTGTATTTTGGGGTGCGTCACTGTTTAGTAATAAATAGAATAGTTACCAAAACCTACCGTCTCTACATTACCGATTCTCAACAACTACAAAAACGAGCCGCACGCCTCGAATAATCGTAATTTACTGTAGTTAGATTGGCGAGAAAAAAAACTCACGCCTTTTCAACTTTTTTATATGGGAATTTCATCGAAATCGGTGTCACATCCATTACGTCGACTTTTTTTCGTACATCCAACGAATTCAAGGAGACAAAATTTCTACGTATTCAATTTTTTAAGTGAATGAATCTCAAAAAGTTTTTACACAGTATGTCCCATAATCGTGCAATAATTGGAACCGAAAATCGATCATTTTTAATATTAAAGAAGAAACGTTGTAGCACGGAGCTCTCGCATCGTGCAGCCATGAAAGTCGATTAAAAGTGCACACACACACACAGCGTTCGTGTAATGTAGAATTTACTGTGATCGCGTTTTTCCGGCAAACTAACGTAACGAGGAGCCTAATTCTTTTTTCTACTAACAGAGACAGTTTCAGTTCTAGCATATTAAAGCAATTACAACGATCGCGAATGTTCGCTGCCTTTTTAAAAGTATCGCTTCGCTGTCTTTTCGCATTGTACATTTTGTGTGCGTCACTGTTTAGGAATAAATAGGATAGTTTCCAAATCCACTATCTCTACAATAATAATGAAAATATTTTTGATAGATGTGTATTTCGTCGATATCTGTTCGTATAACGCAATTTCGGATCAGCGTTTCATAGAGAGATATCTAAAGGATGATTCTATGATATGTGATTCTATCTGAAAAGTTATTGCAATATGACGCAATTTCAAAGAGATAGAATCGCTCGATACAATTCTATTCCATGAAACATTCAATACGATTCTGTCTTCCTTAGAATTCAATATTATTCCAAATTGGGCACAGAGTCATCCAAAACGAGATAGAATTATATTGGACGTCGCTTTATAATAGAATTGTATGGCTCTATAATATCGTATAGAATTATATCACACGCACTTCTCAAATAACATCATACGATAAGTTCGGATGAATAGGTTGATTTAGAATGTACGTTTGAAATAGACATCGATTCCAAGTTTCCGCCGGAATAGCATTTATGTACAGGATCGATTATGTGAAATGCAATCCTGCTAGTCGCTATTAGTGCTCGGTAATGCCCGGATATTCAGCGAAGATATGTCTAACGTGGCAGCAGAAGTGCACCGAGTTTGAACCTCGCACAATGAATCAAATATAAATCTTCATTGAACCTTGAAACGACAAATAGAGCACAGCATGCTGTGTATACATATGAGCCGTTTATTTTGAAAGTGGCATAAGTCACTTTGTTTTTAAGTCTATATATTTAAGGGTTTGCGTTTTTTAACACGTTTAAAAATATGGACGCTAACTTTTGAGAAGATTTACTTGTATTTGTTATCTCGGGATACTGATATTTTATTCTCAGTATAAAAATAATTTCGTATGAACATTAAAAAATCACCACTTTTCATTACGGTAAAGTGACTTATGCCACTTTCTAAATAAACGGCTCATATATATAATATAATATATATAATATATATATTATATTATAATATAATATAATATAATATAATATAATATAATATAATATAATATAATATAATATAATATAATATA